AAAAGAAAGAACACAAAAAACCCAACCAACTTGATAGCGATCACATAACACACTGACAAATGTCCTCTCAATTTCAATACATGACATCAATAACTGACTCCTACTGTGATCTGATTGGCTCATTGCCAAAACAAGATGATGAGCCTCCTGCCCACTGCCCCACCCACAGAGACCCTCTGGATCTCCCCTAACCCTGCCCCCACAGGCATCCCTCCTCAGGAGCAACATCGAGGTGGCCATGTCCACCCTGGCCAGGCCCACCCACACTGCCATGACTACTATAGGCACGCCCACTTGGTGGCCACGCCCACTTGGTGGCCACACCTGCCTGGCACTCGGCGATGCATAAGTGGGTTTCAGGTTGCAGTTTGGGCACTCGGTCTCTAAAAGGTTCGCCACCACTGTCCTAGATCAAGCCAAATTCAAAAATGCTAGAAAATTCCTGGAAGCCTGGCACTCTGACAAATTAGCTATCAACAGGTACATAAACAAAATCTACATACTATTCAAAAGAGACAATCAACAAGCCAAAGAAGAAAAAACACCAAAATACCTCCTTACCAGTAATCAACATCCAGATGAGCAGAGATAAACATCAAGAGTAACATTAGACTAACAATCAAGAAGGAAGGAACTGCCAAACAAGCTAACAATAAAGAGCTCAACCAAAGAACCACCAAGACCACTCCCACCAACACTGACCAGACAATCCATTAGAATATAAAATGAAGCAAATCCCACTCTCTACTAGCATTGATGATGATTTTACTTAGTTTGGGTAATGAAACATCTGCAAGAAAAAAACCAAGCTAAGAGCATCAAAGACCTCTCATTTCAACCCTGAGCTACAAATACAGTATTCTCCTCTAACAGTATTTTTCAAGGCCCAAAAGCAAAATAAAAAATAGGTAAATAACCTTCTTAATTTTGAAAAAGCTAAACAATGAATAAGTCACACAAGTGAAGATTTATTTACTTGAATAAATGAATACTTGAATTTGCAATTAAATTAATCAAGTCATGTTTCTCAGAATAATAGAATCATTTCAAAGTACCTGAATAAGATGATATATCATAAAAGTTGCAATCCCTGATCGTCTCCACTCCGGATGAACGAAAAGGAAAGAGATATACGCTTCATTATATTTGACATCTGGCACCATAAAACCAAAAGCAACTATAACTTTTTTGTAAAGAACGACAACACTGAAATCTGGATACTGCAGGCATTCTGACAGATCAATCCCTATAAATAATAAAAAAGGAAACCACAAGCAATGACATATTAATGATTGAAATAATTACATATAAAAATAATACAATATACAAAAATATATTTTCCAAGTGGTAACTATATTGCAGCAAAAATATTTTAAATATCAAAATCTAACATAAACTTATGGATGACAGTCCATTTTATTAGAAGCATAGTACAGGTAGACCTTGCTTATCGAAGGCCAAGTGCTATGAGTATTTGAAGTTGTGATGGTGCTGAAAAAATAACTTCACAACTAAGGTGTGCACTTACAACCTTTGCAGCATCTCTCTCAGTCACATATCCATCATTATAGTCAGTTACTACACATTATCCTATGCCTGAACTGTTCCCCCCCCCTCATTCTTGCAGAGTGGAGAGATTGCCTAAACAAACATCGCTTTAGACAATCTTTCCTGTGTCTGACCCTTTTTTTCTTCCTCCACTCATAGAACAAAATGGAGAGGAAGAGGCTGGGAGGTGTGAGCATATTAGGCAAACAGCTGGTACAGGCACATTCCTTTCAATGCATATCCCCTATTGTGTGCTGCTTACTTTCTTGTTATTCTCTTTTGCTTCCTCACAAAAAAAAAATGCAAATACAAACATTAATTCTCTTCTTGCTAATTATCTGAGGGCCACAATGAGCATTCCAAAGGGTAGGGAAGTAGAGAGAAAGGAAAGCTGAAATAAAATTGTAAACACAGTTGTGGTCATGTAGTTTTTCAGTCCCAACTACGGTTGGTAAATAAGGACTACCTGCATCTAATCATATAGACTATGATCAATATAACTTATTAAGTATGCTAATCTTCAAGAAGCAGCAAGACAGTTTTTATTTTAAAAATAGTCTGAGTTATTGAGAGTTAATAAAAAGGCATTACCCGTATAAATTTATGAATATCTCCCTATTTAAACAAAATAGTTTTTCAATAAGTACAAAATACTGCTTTAGTTTTGCCACAAGTTCATGATTTTATTTTTTTGTACATTATCATACTCAATCAATTTTCTCTAGCATCATGCAAGCAGCATATTGACTTCTTTTAAATGGCTTTTTTTTTCTGGCCGACATACTAAAGGATGGACTACAGGAATATTCTCTTCAAAATTGTTTACAATATTCTCTGGAAGACTCTGGAGCCAAAGGCTCCATTTTATGGTGTCTGTTCTGAAGTGACAGACAAGCCCGGGAAGGTCTAATCCATGTAGCCAAGTGTCAATTAGTGAGACTTCTATTCCTAGGATTCCCATGTGTGGCTGCCCCTGACCAAAGAGGTGGCAATAAATGCCAATGTGATGGACTTTCCTCCCACAGTGATTCATAATAAAATGTGAGACCTGCTTGCCTTGGTCTCTTGGTTTGTATGCCACAAATAGGCCATTTCTCTAGAGCAAATACATCCTAGATGCCCTGGTGTATATTGAGGTAGCATCAGACAAAAAAGTTAAATAGCACAAACTTTTGCAACCTATAGAACTGTGAATTCATTTGGAAGTAAATCATGAGGCTATTCATAGGGCAACCATATCTATATGGAACACATGTAGATGCTCCTAACTATTCTGCTCTCCTAGTTGACATAACTGCTATCAGGAAGTTTGTAGGATCAAGCTCAAACAATTCAACTATTAATGTCAAACGACCAGTGTTGGATACCAGGTTAGGAAATTAGTACACAGTTAATAGGAGCTGAAGGCGAGATGGTGGTCAGGCAGCAAAGGCTGTAAAAGAGCTCCTCCAAAAGCAAAAGCTTTCTTTTATTTTCTTTTATTTTTATTTTAACTTTTTAATCCGTTTTAACACTGCATTTTTAACCTACCCATTTTTAACCTATTTTAACCTATTTTTAACCTTTTTAAACCTATTTTAAAACCTGTTTTAACTCTTCTTTGACTTTTTATAATAGTCAAAGACTTTTTACAAAGGATATATACTGGAGAGGCTACCATTGTTTTACCTACAGGATTACCAAGAATGGGGAAAAGGAGAAAGAGACAGTGTGTTCACTCGGCAGCACAGTGTTCTTCCAAGCCACTAAAGCAGCAGAAAATGGAAGATTTCACTGCAATTAGACAGCCTGCTCCAGTAAGTAACTCATCTGTAAGTGACTCATTAGAATGGGATTTACAAACTGAACTTGAAAGCAAACAGCATATAGAACTTTTTGTTTCTCTCAATTCCCCTCCCTGGAATTCCTCACCCGCGTTTCCTGCACAGGATGGGATAGTAACAAACACAGTAAGGGAGAATGAAACAGATCTCCTTTCCAGACAATGTTTGTTCACAGCTCAAACCATAAATTCAATCTACGAACTTTTATCAATTGTCACAAGTAAGGTTGACTGCTTGAAAGAGTCTTTTGCAAAGTTTATCAGCAGTCAAATAAACATTGCAGAAGGACCCAGGAGAACACATAATGATAGACATGGGATGGCTAATGGAGAAATGGAAACTAGAATAGGCCCCTTTCTCCCTTCCATAAACGAGAGTGGAAAGAATATTCACAAAGAAAACAACACTCAGTCAGATAGTTCTAGAGGTGATCATTATAACCTCAGTTTACAGACAAACCAGGTTACCTTGCAAATCTATGACAACAGATGGAATAGAGGACGTTGGAGTGATAGAAAAACTGTTAGGTAGTCTCTGAGCCAGCTGCTCCACTGCAAGTACATGCAGATTGATTTATTACACGCAGAGTAGCTGCCTGCAAGAAGGCAATATATGCGGATTTTGCTATCCTTCAAGCAGTCCATAATTCCCTCAATGCTTCTTAGAATGAAGCACTTCCTGAGCACTTTTTCAATATTTCCAATATGTGTTTTCCGCTCAGGGAACCTGCGCCTACTCCTGGTTCAGTCTCTCCATTGAGGGAACTATTGCTTTAAATCCAAGCGGCAACAGACCTCATACTGATAAGTTTGAAACACGGTCAGCTGAATCAACCTTAAGAAAACAGAGAAGTGATCCACAAACAGAGTTACCCACAGTCACTGATTCTGGTGAGGGCATGCCAGAAGAAATGTTATTAGACTTTAACAATATATTGCCAGATCCTGAGCAAGCTAATTATACAGAGACTGGATGATTTAAAAGAAGCATTGAAAATAACTACTCAAGCTAATACATCAAATAACAATTATCATAACGATCCTCCAACAAGTGCCCCTATGGAGAACTTGAACTGACTATATGAAGGCCAGTGCAAGAAAAACATCATGTCATGGAACGTAGCCGGGTGGTATAGTTTCAGAGGCCTTAACCACTCTGATCCTCTGAAAGGTAAGGATATTATATTGGTGCAAGATACTTGGACTACTGATGATCTCCTGCTTAATGGCTTTCATGCATATAAGCTGGAAGCAAGGCCAGGCAAAGGCCCAGGGAGAGTGAAAGGAGGGCTGGGTATATTTATTTCTACCAACTTGAGAACAGAGTCCACACTTATTACCCCTTTAAACCATTCAGCTATGGCAATTCTCCTCAAGTGGGATTCAGTCCTGCTTTTGATAATTAATGTTTATCTCCCTCCTTCACTAAGAAAAGTTGAAACCACTGCTGTATGGCTGGAGTTGGAACACTACGTTAATAAACAACTCATGGAACACCCAAATGCCAGGTCCTACTAGGGGGAGACTTTAATGCCAGATTGGGACCAGATGATTATACATTATTCCTAAAACATCATCAATACCCACCATCGGACATCCCTATACAAACCAACGCCCCCCTCATATGACTCTCTAAAGACATTAGAGCTAACTATGCTGGCCTCTATCTTGCCAAGTTGGCAAATAAATTTAACTTCTTCATATCAAATGGCTCATGGCCTGGTGACTATCCTGGCGAGTTTACATTCATAGCAGGGTCCAAAACATCTTAACTTCTATGGACTTAGTACATCATATAGAAGATTTTGAAGTCCTGCCTTACCTACAAAGTGATCATCTTCCTCTGTATATATACATGAAGCCCTTTATCAGGAGATACCCTCCAAGAACCATTTTATCCCTGCAATCTCTACAGCCGGCCTAACAAGATGCCGGGTCAAATGGACCCAACAACTTGATCAGAAAGTAAGGAGAGCCCTAACAGGATAATTTTCAAAAACACTGTGCAGCCTTTATATCAGCCAACCCAACTCAAGATTTATTAGAACTATATAAAAGTTTAGTTTATGAGCTACAACCATTATTAGCACATGACCAAAATTTCTCAGCTAAGAGGTCCTGTACTACCTGCAAACCATGGTTTGATAAGGATTGCGTAGAAGCCAAGAAAGCCCTTAACTTGGCATACAAGGAGTACAAAAGCGAGACTGGATATGGCAATAAAGCAATTCTTAATCTGTTACTTACACTTAAAAAACAATTCAAGCAATTGATTGCATTCAAGAAGAGACAAGACACAAGGTCTTCCTGGGAACAGCTCATCGTGGCAGCAAAGCAAAAGAACTCTTCTTTATTTTGGCGTCTAATAGCTTGCAACTCTGAAAGAATCCATACCCCATTAGACTGTCATATATCTCCTATAACCTGGGAACTCCATTTTCGGAGAATGTATGAAGACCCCTCTAGCGAGAGTACAAGGTCTATAATGAAGGATTTACCTGAGTGGCCTCCAGTTTTAGAGTCTGAAATCAAATCTCTCATTGGCCAACTCAGGATCGGGAAGGCTCCAGGAGCTGACTTCATTTCGGCTGAATTATTAAAGAATAATATGGAGTGGTGGATACCCATTCTGGCAGCACTATTCACCTATATTGACTCCATCGGCCATGTCCCAGAGGATTGGAGCTTGGCAATTGTGGTCCCAATTTATAAAAAGGGAAAGAGAGACGACCCTGCCAACTACAGACCAATAAGTCTGCTAAATATAATCAGCAAACTCTATGCCAAACATCTTCAAGATAAATTAAAGGAGTGGCTGGACCTTGAGAACTTGATTGCTGAAGAACAAGCTGGGATTAGAAAGGGAAGAGGCACCA